CAGAATTCTTCTGACCGGCGGTTTTCTTCACCAAGGCACGAACTAGATCCCTCCTCATGATGTTGTTTAAGCGCAAATCCCGACTTTTGCCAAATTTGGATTGCAAATCCTTGTTGGGGTACTTACGCCTGAACTCCTTAGCCTCCTTGACTGAATTATAGCCTAGGAATCCGAGGAGCGGATAGTATACTGCGATCATATATAAAACAATCAAGGTTATTCACAATTGTTCGATATATACGAAAGTGCTATTAAAACCAACAGCTATGAAAGATTCATTACCGGGGTCAAACTTAACAGTAGACACTCCGGGAGATAAACCAGCAGCTTCGAGTTTCGAATCTACTACAAGTTTGCGATATTCTCGAACCTCCTTATCTAAACCGGCGAGTGTGATTAAGTTCCCACCGAACTCAGGACTCAACCTCGGTTCCGTTTGTTTAGTCTCTTTTTCTACAAAGGGCAAAAGTTCCGACCTGTTAGTACACAGAACAAGGCAAAATCAGAGAGATATATCTGAATTAAAAAATGACATAAACTTACTTGCCCCGGAATGAATTAACATCAGAATCGTCATCCCGTCAATCCGAGGTTCATGAAAGAAGCTCGCAGATTACCATTCTCCCCCAATCCATACCCACTCCTCCTGGAATCCATGGAGAGTTTCTGGGATATCGGTTATTATTTCACCGACTTTTAAACCATGTTGCGGCTTTGCCCCGGCAAAAAATCAGCATGAAGACTCCGCTACATGTCTCTTCGGACTTTTCTTAAACGCAAAAATGCTCCTTATTTCCTCACACGATGGCAGCCCCTCACCCTGCTCGTGCAGCAGTACCATCAGACCGATTATCTTCTTCCAGCTATTAGGAGTGATCTGACACAGCGGTAATCCCCAACTTCGAAGATATTCTGTGATCAAGCTCGGTAACGGGAATCTTAATCCCGACCTCAGACTCTCAACGAAAACGCCAACACACCCCGGAGGAGGACTGGTTATTCTCTCCCCCGGATATGGAGCAAAAATTCTTACCGAGGGTGGGATCCGAATCTGCTCCCGTAGCATCACCACATCAGCATCAGTTAGAATGCTTGGCTCACCTTCAAAATCGACCGCAGGATCATGCCACGTCCTCACCGGTCTCCTCCAGTGAGGTACCTCAATATCGGTCGCGTTCTCTTCAACTACCCGATCGCCATCTTCATCATCGGGCTTAATATCCAAATGTTCTACCAACATCGGATCCCACCGATGATACTCAAAGGCCAATTCGACCAACTGCGAATCATGATACACATCCAAGGGAACCGATTCGGTACTAGAAGAACTCGCCACCGCCTTACCCTTTCCTTTCGGCGCCATCGCACAGCAAAACCGGATGCTAAAGAAATAAAGGAAAAATTAAAGAAGGAACTTACCGAAAATCCACAAGCACACAATGCGCAGGAAACGACTCTCGAACTCTCAAAGGAATTTCAACAACAATATTAGTGGATGCAAAAGATCAAAAATTGAAGTGAAAGTGAAGAAAACTCGATCAGATACTGTAGAAACCCTATTTATAATTTCCAGTTTCTAACCGTTGGAGACCTTAATTAGGGGCGCGTATAACCGACGCGACCCCTCAATCCCAATCGACGCCACCTTTTCATTCCACAGGACTCTACTGTGCACGTGGCACCCTATTAAAAAACGACCGTTACCTTTTATGACCATTACGGCGCGACTGTTCATTCTGATATTAATGAAAAACCGTTATGATTGTTCAGCTTTCTTCTAATTGCTTCCCAGACAATAGCAAATTTCGTCAAGTGTTCTCACCCCGGAAATTAACACCCACTCCGGTAAGAACAGTTCACTTCAGAAATTTTCTTGTCGCAAGTTTCCCGTAAAGATCGTAGCCGAGTCGGATCTCAACCCATCTTCTGCAACATCGACGACCATCACTCCGTATGATCGCCGATATTGGGGGCCTATCTGTTATCATCCAACTCGGCAAGCATTGTTTAAGAGTCCTACACTTCATATTAAGTGAAATTAACCATCGAACCGACATTGTCCGAAGCTGTACTAATTCGGACAGAGAACCGACCTGGATCACCGAAGACCGAAGTCTTGCCAAACCGAAGTAAACGCAAACCGAGGTCTCACCTCTTGAAGCAGGTGACAAGGCACCTACGCACCCCCACCACGAATTACGAGATTTTTCATCATTCAAATGGGGCCCACTGATCCTGCCGCCCATCAAAAAGTAGTTTTATGAAAAAGCTAATGCACAAATCTCGAGATGTACGTAAAAAGTTGCTATAAATAGACCGCCTACAACACTTGTACGGGGATCCCCGAACTCATTAATATGCAACACGTAAAAGCCCATAACGGCTCTTCACCTCGGTTCACCTCGGACCGGGGCCATTGTTGAGTTTTTGTTACATGCTTTACGTCCAAACCGTTCGTAATTATCATCTTAATCACTTGTTCAATCGTTGTTAAGTATCTTTGGATCAATTGGGTGATTGAATTAGGGTATCATCTAAGTTGATTGAATTACTTTTAGGTGATATTTAAAATAGTAAAAAAAAAAAAAAAAAACTTTACACAATTTGGTTAGTCTCAGGTGACTAAGTTATATATCAATTTGACCAGACAAATCGATTATTGAACTTAATTATAAATTTTAATATTGAAAATACTTTATTAAGTGAATGTGATGCAATCCAAATCTCAAATAATCATATTAACAATACTTTTATGAAAACATGTTTAATAATTTATAAATATTTATATATCATTTTAGTAATATTTATGTGAATAAAATAATATTTTATTATAATTTTTATTAATGTACAATAAATATAAGGTTTTTAGAACTGGGCCGTCATCGAAACGATCAAGTTAGTTTATTAAATCACTTGTGGTTTTTCCAAATTTTAATTTATAAACATTTTAATATACATATATAGGATTTTTTGTAATAAATTTAAATAAAATGTGTTACTTAAATATCTAAACAATTTATAAATTCAAATGTTTAATCTAATTTATAAACAAATTATAAATCTCTGTTTTATTTAAATGTGTAATTTTATTGACAATACTTTAAAATGTAGCAAAATTTATTTAGAAAATCGTACCGATCCTACCGGTCCAATCGACTGGTGTTGACTGATTTAATAGCAAATACTTTATTCAAGCGAATTATAAACCAGTTCTTGGTCCATTCGGTCGGACTGTGTCCAATATCAATGTTATTTATATATTTAATTTATAATACAATCGTAATATTTTTTACCCGTGCATCGCACGGGGCCATGCACTAGTAAGTAATAATTAGCTTGTTTTCTAATTTTTGGGTTAATTGATAAATAAATTTTAACTTTTTTGCATTTGGCAATTTTATTCCAATCTTTAGGTAATTGCAATATAATCTCGACCTCAATTTACTTATTGCAAGTCGAACCTTAAACCGATCGGATCTTAAAAAAACTGGTCAATTTGAAGGCAGTTCGAATTTATCGAAGCTCTTATTCACCGGTTCACTCCAAATCTAGGAGGAGACTCATCTCCGGAAGCTTACATCGACGTGGAATTTTTTGCTTTGTGCGTGGCTATACATGAAATACGTGAAAATTGTCAACTTGCTGCGTGGATGACATAAAAACACGTGTCAATGGAAGACTTGAACACAAAATCGATTCACAAATCCCGAAAATCAATCAACCTACACCCAACTCCGTAAAATCGCTTTGCACTTTCCCCACAATAAAAATCCATCCTACGTATGATATCTTCTCTCTGAACCAAGATTCCGCGGCGTGGACCGATCTATAGTCAGCCGGACACGCTGGCGTTTTTTGACGGTCCGATCGGTTTAAGGTTCGACTTGAAATAAATAAATTGAGGTCGAGATTATATTGCAATTACCCAAAGATTGAATAAAATCGTCAAACGCAAAAAAATTAAGGTTTATTTAACAATTAACCCTTAATTTTTTGAGGTTTTCGCTTCTAAATAAATCTATTTTTTTGGTGTGGTGGGTTGGGTCAAAACATGGGCCGGTGCCTCGGCATCCTTTTGTTGTTTGTCAAGGTAACAACATCAATACGTCAAAAATTCGAATTTTGGGTTGTCTATATTGAGTTCAATGAGTCATTGTAATCCGGACTTAGTGTTCAAGTCAGTAGCTCAAGCTCATTTTGACTTTTTAATTAAATGAGCCAAAGGATCAACTCAAGCTCAGCTCACATAAAGCTCGAAAAAAGTTCGATAATATAATAAATTTAATATGAATTGTTTGTAGACATAAAATATGTTCTCGAACAAGTTCGTCTCAATAACTTCATTTCAAATTATAAAAGAAAATGAGTTCGATTAGCTGCCCAAGCTAAGCTCGAGCTTTTATGAACAATACGGAATTTTACTCGTCAATTGTTCGGCTCGTTTTGATAAATTGGATAAACTTAGCTCGTTTAATTAACGTGCATTAATTTATATTGTTCTTACAAAAATAACAATGATATTAAAAAAAATCATATATTTTTTTTTTCTAAATTGATATGAAAATTTACATCAAACAATCTACAAGACATCCATTTCTTGTCTAAGTAATCTGTTAAAGTGAGTTATATTCATTATAGTTGATTGATTGAAAGATATAGTAGAATTTTGAGTTAACAATAAAATAATATTTAAAATATAATAGGTATTGCATTATACTCTTCCTCTAGGAATTCCCTTAATTCCTAAACTAATTAGTTAAAATCTCTAATTTCACAAGTAGTTTTGTAGATCTAAAATGCTTTGTTACAATGACTACTCAATGCAAGAAAGATTCAATACACATGAAAATATCTATATATGTTTTGGCTTCCACAATTTTCATCAAAATTACATTGTTTTTAACTCAGCAACAACTACCTATAGTTAAAAGAAAAACTAACATAACATGTACATATACACATTTAGTTACATGTGAAAATGCATACTGCTTTAACCCAATCTACCAGCAGAAAGAAGGCAATAGCTTGAAGGAGAAAAAAGATGGAAGATAGCCATATCTTCTTATATAATCTGCTTTCTCAGAGGTCTTGATAGCCTTTTCTTGAAGTTCAGCCTCTGCATTTGCTAGTTTTTCATCGGCTATCCTCCGACTAGCTGCTAGTTTGTTGTTGTACTTCTCGTGCGCTCGGGACTTCAGCCTCTCTGCCTTGACCTATACGGAACGCTAACCACGAGTCAAAAAATCACAAGTGTATCAAGAAAAAATTGACCATACACATGTTAATTAAAAGGTCATGAAGAAAATCATTTGTTGATCCTTAGAAGGGAAAAATCACAGCCATTGCAGATAAGCTAAAACCCGAGAAAAAACCGATAAATCGACAAAGTTACCTCGACTTTTCGATTCTCCAACTCGCCTTTCCTTTTCTGATGATTCTCCCAAGCTTGAATCTTCACCTCGTCCCGCTTAAACCTTGACATACATACAAAAAAACCGATCACAGGAGTCCATTCTGGAAAACTTTAAGGTTAGGTTTGGTAAAATTAGATGAACTGATAAGCTAGCTATATAAGTAATTTTCGAGCTTATAGCTGATAGCTTATTACTTATGGCTGAAAAGTCAGCTTATATGATAAAAGTGTTTGATAAAATTAGCTACTAAACTAGCTGAAATAAAAATTTCAACGAGCTTACTTGAAAAACTACCCAAACTAAGCTTATTTGAATACAACGGGTTTATAAGTTAAATAAATAAGCTATAAGCTAGTTTATTTGGTTACCAAACATAATACATTTTTACTGCATTCGAAAACAATGTATCACCTTGCAGTGTATTTAGCCCGCTCGGCTTCCTCCCAAGCCATAGCCTCGATTTCCATCGGGCTCATGATCTTTTTCAACCCGGCACCATCTTGACTCGATTGTTCGTGTATCCTCTGGTTCATGGGCCTGGCATTTGGACACGGCCTCACCTGGGTCGATGGCCCGGTGAGACCGGGCTCAAGGCCCGAACTGGGGTTTCGGCCCGTGAAGGCTCCTGGCTCGTTATAGGGGTCATCTCGGTTCCCATGTCCCTCAGGCAGATGGGCCAAACGACAGAGTATGTGGGCCTGTCGACCACGTTCTTGGTCTCCACCTCGACTTGTGCTGCTGGGTTTTCTCCGCGGCTAACGAGAGGTTGACGAGCCATTTATGGGCGTCGTCCCACTTGGAGGACTGGGCTGGTTTTCTGAGGCCGGCCCGGATGTGGTGGTGGGGCCCGCAGTTGCTCAGGCATCCCTTATCCTCCACAGT